TTGACTCTTTCTCTCCCTCATTATTCTGGAGGGGTTCCTCCATTCGAGTCCTCTGCTATTTACCCCACGACTCCCTCAAACCCTCTCTCTCCCCTGGCCTCAATCACAGATGGTTGCTTCTTTAGCTGGTTATTTACTCCTTCCCTTGTCTCATAAAAAAGTTGAGCTAGCTTACTAGAATACACGGAACAAAGGATGAAAAAAATGGTCAAAATAAGCAATGAAGAAGGCAAGGAAAATAGTTGATAGAGCCAGCAGTAAGATGAGCACATGGAAACATCTATTATATGATGCTATTCAGGTACTGCAAGTAGGCTTCATCCAAGAGTCCTAGAAGCCAAAGAAATGAGAAATATAACCAAGCAGAAAGTATAAGTCGGGAAAGCTCTGCCTTTCTAATGCACAGACCAGAGGGAGGTGGGTGATCACGGTCCTGAGCTAAGCACTTCTCTGACATTGTCTTACTTGATCCTGACAATCTCATGGGGTGGACATTATTATAACACTCATTTTGCAGATAAGGAAACTGAGACTTCAAGAGTAAGTTAGTAATGTGCCCAAGACTACAGAGTTAGTCAGTTGGCTGAAGAAATGAGATTCAAACCCAGGCTATCAGGCTCTGTGTCTGGGTACTAAAGCAAAAAGCACACCCTGCAGGACCGGGTCGGGGAGTGGGGTTCTGTGGGACATTTCTGAGACAAATGTAATAGGCATTTTTGCAGGGCTATGTCTCCTGACCTCTTTCAATGCAATTCATTAATATGGGCACAAAAGTGTAAACTCCATTGAAATTCAGCAAAAGCAATTCATTGAAGCCAAACAATTTGTCCAGGTGTGTAGTTCTTTGATAATCTAATTTCCTTCTCTATGTAGATGAATGAGCACTGTAGACTCTATAGGAATTAGATCAACAGGTATTTTATTCAAGCCATAGTATGTCATTCTACGCATCCCAAGCCCTCTCTATTAAGATTTATGGCTCACTGGAACCTCAAAGCTGAAGTCTTTGGTCTCCTCACTCTTATGCTTCCTAACTTCTACAGAGAAAATACTCTTTTTTTAAATACTTTAAGTTCTGGGGTACATGTGCAGAATGTGCAGGTTTGTTACATAGTTATACACGTGCCATGGTGGTTTGCTGCATCCATCACTCCATCATCCACATTAGAAAATACTCTTAAATATGCTGACAGCCCTCTGGGACAATGGAACACACAATGAATACCTCTATTAAGAACACTTAGAGGACAACTTTACCTGTCTGTGGTTCTCTTCTTCTAACCTATTCTTTGTTAGATATTTTAGGAATTGGGTAGTTCCTGTATTCAAAACTTCATACCATTTGGGCAGCATTTCTCAAACTTTCAGCATCCATAAGCCAATGCAAGCTAAAGCAAAGCACTAATTTTGGGTAAGATTTCATCACAATTCATGCCTGTAATCCCAGCACTTTGGGAGGCCAAGGCAGGTGGATTACCTGAGGTTGGGAGTTTGAGACCAGCCTGACTAACATGGAGAAACCTTGTCTCTACTAAAAGTACAAAAAATTAGCCGGGCATGGTGGCGCATGCCTGTAATCCCAGTTACTAGGGAGGCTGAGGCAGGAGAATCACCTAAACCTGGGAGGTGGAGGTTGTGATGAGCTGAGATTCACGCCATTGCACTACATCCTGGGCAACAAGAGTGAAACTCCATCTCAAAAAAAAAAAAAAGAAATATTTCATCACAATTTTTAGTAATAAAAACATCACATTCTTTTTGAAAACTTTATTATGCAGAAATGCAAACATATACCAAAAGTGGAGTAGTATAAAGAACCCCTACGGACTTAACAACATTCAGCTTCAACTATAATTGACTCCTGGCCAATCTTATTTCAACACCATTCTCACCCACTTCCGTCTCTCATATCATCCTGAAGCAAATCCCAGATATCATATCATTCCATCCATAAATATTTCAGTAGTTGTCTCTAAAAAGATGAATTCTTTCTTTTAACATTACAATAGCATAATCACAACTCTGTGCGAATTACAAAATATTATTAAGTATCAAAATATATCAAATTCCCAACTGTCTCAAAATTGTAAAGTTTTTTTGTTCGAGGATCCAAATAAGGCCTACACATTCCTATCAGACAGAACATTCTTTTAAATGACACTATTTGTTTCATGCATTTGTAAAATGACATAATTTGCAATCTCTACCCAGGATATCTGTCCTATTTGATAATGGTTCCATAGTCCATTGATTTTTTATTAACCTTTATTTTTAGTAAGTTAAACACTCCCAATTTATAGTCACTGGAAACAGTATCAAATGTCTGATACCTTTTTCCAGTGACTATGGATTCAGAAATTAGAGATTTCTTATTGCAAACATGTTTAGCCCTCCACCAGGTGCCAGATCAATTATGAAACACATAAAAACCTGGACAGATGTATGCTTTAACTTGGGAGATGAAGGGAAATGGGTCCCCCTCACCTACAGGGACTTCCTTCTGGCTCTGAACAGCATTATCTTCAACGTTACAGGTCATTTTAAGTTAAAACCAGATTAATAGAGTCAAACTCCAGTCAGAGCAGACTGGACCTGAGTTTGGTCTTAAGAGGATTTCTCAAGTCCAGCTAATTGTTTTTCTCTTAAAGGGACTGAGTTTATCTTTTGGATCCTGTAGACCAATGCCAGAATTGACCTTGCATCAGAGGTAAATGATCAGTAGATATGCCATGATGGGCAAAGTCATTCAAAGTTGTTAGGAGGACCCTGAAAGTGTCAGCAGGGTATGAGGTCATCCTGAAGCAGGATTGGAGCAGGGCCAAGTAGAAAAGGAAGAAGGTGATGTAGAGATAAAGAGGGAGAAATCTGCAATGGCATTCATATTTCTGACTCCAGCATGGGATGCCATGTAAAAAGGAACCCTAAGTTCACACATACATGCACACACACCCCGAAGAAACCCCCGTGCAAGTTGCTCATGGCCCTGGGATGGAAAGAGCCAGCTGATCTGAGAAGAAAATGTGCCTTAGGTGAAATATTCTCTTCATAGTTATAGCAAATGTTCTCAACACTGGCTGCACATTAGAAGCATCTTGAGAGTTTAAAATACTATGTCCAGGCCCCTGTGCAAGCCAGTGGAATTGGAATTTCCAAGTATTTTTAAACCTCCCTCACTGTCCCCCTCCTGGACACCCCCCACCCACACAGGTGATTCTAATGTGCAGCCCAGTCTGAGAACCACCGGGCTAAAGCATGGACAGCAAGGGCTATTTCAGTATAGGACTGATTAATGAGCAAGGACTCATTATTGGAAATACAGCTTGAAGCTTGATTTGGCTCAGGCTGGACTTCTGGAGCTTGGGGTGAGAAGCAATCTAACCTTCTGGATTCACAGCTCTCCTGTGAAACAAGGTTAGGAGGGAAAGCCTGGCAGGGGAATGGGAAAAGAGGGGTGAGGTGTTCTGCACACGAGCTTCCCTTCTGCTCGGGGAGAACAGTGGTTCTCCACTCCAGTGTGCATCATGATCACACGGGGACATCTGTCAAATGCAGCTTTTTGGGCCCCACTCCCTGGTTCGCTCAGAAGATCTAGTATGCAGCCCAAGAACCTGCATTTTTGCAGGTCTCCAGGTGTCTCTGAGAGTTTATGGGAAAAACATACACCCAGAAACCCTGAGAGGCCTCCAGGAGCAGCAGCCTGTGGGCTCTTTCTGGTGAACATGTGCAGGGAAGGGCTTCCCTCTTTAATCCTGGGCCCTGCCCCTGGACGGGCTGAGCAGTCGGTCTGAGGTGGTGCCTAGCATCAGCGTTAGAAGTGATTTCAAGGCACTGCCCAATTGGGGGCCTTCATGGAAAAGTAGTAGACCTACCCCAAGTTTTCTCTGTACAATAGGAGGTGGAAGCAAAGCAGGAAGGCGCTTTGCTCAGTCACTCCTTGTTTCTACCATAAGGGAAGCTGGCATTTTCCTAGGCTGACAGCTGGCAGGAAGTGCAAGCAGAAACCAAGCAGCAGCAGCTGGTCTTTCAGAGACCATTGATTTCACCAGAAAAGTGGACCTCAAAGCAAACATGCAAATTATTGGGCCCCACCCCAGAGCGCCTACTGCTCAGATACTTCAGGGAGATAGGATCCCCAATCTGTGTCACAACAGACTCCCAGGTGATTCTGATGCTTGCTCGGTGATTATGGGCTTAGGAAAGGCCGCCACCTCTCCAGGCCATCCCCTCAGGTCGCTTGTCATGGAGGCCGGTATAGGCCCCACAGTACCTCTCCCGCTCTCACGGTTTGTTATTGGGAAAGTACCAAAGGATACTGTGGCTGCCAACCTGGAGGAAAGGGGGCCTGGTTCCAGGCAGCTGCCACCTGCATAGGCTGCTCTCCCAGCTGACTTGGCTTGTTTTATTTTCTGTAAGTCTGGAGAGGGGCACAGGAAGGACTTTCCCCAGAGACAAAGGACAGCTGGTGCCTAATCCCCCAAAGCAGAGGCAGCTGTGGTCCAGAAACCCCAGGGCCTGTTTCCACCATCCTCCCTGGGGAAATGCAGGCACAGGGCTGAGAGAGGCCCAGGACTTGTCTCCATACTCTCCTTTCCCTGGCCAAGAAAATGCTTCCTCTTGTTGGAGGATGGATATGCAAACACTTCCTTTATGCATAAGGCTGCAGCCAGAAGGGTGGCATCCTGTACCAAGACAAAAGCCCTTTTGGGACAGAGTGTCAATGCTGGTACCCCACACTCCCAAAGATGGGGGGAGGCTGATCTGAGGCCGAGACACAGGTGAGGACTAGCCGAGTGGGACCGAAAAAGTTACTTTCCTCTTTCTTCTCTGGACCCAAATTTGGACTTCTTCCAAGCATTCTGATCAGAGACAAGGACTAACATGCTCTAAAAGGGGAGTCGCCAGGATAGAAGTAATCCAGACCTATTGTGGACTCACTGCAGAGTCTACATGTGTTACATGGAGTTCACAACTTTAACAAAACAAAAATACAGGGGCTTGGGTTAAATGAAAAGTATGGTTTTATTGTATTTTCTTGTCAAACACCTTTACTTGAGGCAACAACTGAGGTACAATTTAATTCAGCAGGAAATATCACACTCAGAGGGAAAACACACACTCAAAAAAACACTTAAATTAAAGCCAAACATTCTTTCCAAGGCACAGCACTGGCATGTTCAGATTGACAGCAGAATGAGTTTGTTTCCATGAAACAAAATCACGAGTCCAGAGTCTGTTTTTGAAACAGCTTTGCACTTCATCTCCACTTCTTGGGCTCAGGGAACGATGCTCGTGGCCTTCCTTAGGGCCAGGTAGCCAGTGACGACATCAGAGGGCAGCCTCCGAATGTAGGAAAACTCTTCGATGGTGCTGAACCGCAGTTTGCTCTGGGGGTCTGTGTAGTTGGCCTGGGTGGAAAGAGGCACAGGGAAGGGCAGAAAGTTATTGCTGGTAGGGATATTTTAAGTTCAAGTATAAGTTTAAAACTTTTTTCTATTTCCCTGAAAGTGAAATATATTTTCATTATGACTTACTCTGCCACCAAGAACACTAAATCACTCACTGTGGCACAGACTCATTAACTTTCCCAGACTCCAGAAACACTTCAGGGTATGGATGGAAGGGAAATCACCACATCAGACTCTGGGACCCTTATTGTTGGTGCCTCAAGGGCTGCAAGCAATAGGTCCAAGACTGAATTCACAATGGTCATCCCTCCCTGTCTCTAGACTCCTGCCTCCTTCCAACATGTCCCAGGTCTGTGCTCCTCAAGCCAAGAGCTGATGCCCTGCATGCTGGGCACATGCCCCTCCCTGCTGTGCTCCACTTACCTTCAGCATGCTCCTTCCCAGCTCTTCCAACACCCGCTGTGCCACTTCCACGCCTCCTAGGCCACTCTGTTGTACATCACGGGCCACTAACACCCACCCTTCCCCTAGAACTGCAGCTAGGTTCTTCTTGGCAACGTGCAATTCTGATCATGTCATTCCTCAGCATAAAATCTCTCAAAATGGCTCCTCTGCTCTTGGGACAAAGGCCCAAGTCCTCCATGCAGCTCCTTAGCTCTGGGCCTTCCTTTGTCCTCAGCCTCTTCCTCAGCCACATGCCCCTGCTCTCTGATTCCAACTGTCCCCGGCCTCTACATTCCTCCCTCTTACCATGCCCCATCTGTCCTTTCCTTGTCAGGGGACCCCAACTGCAGCCCACTTTGCTCAGTAATCAGGACTCAGCCCCAAAGCTACACCTCTGTGGAAGCCTATTTGTACCCCCTAGGAGGTCAGAGCCCCACCCTCTTTCATAGCAGCACAGCACTCCAGTGGAATGCACATCTCTGTTGCTTTAAAGTTTATCATCTACATGACTCTGATGATGGTCTAGACTATGAGGGTCCATGAGACGGGAACACTGTGGTTTGCTTATCACTGTAGACTGGCTCCTGATGCAACACAGAGTGCACAGAGGGCCTTCAGTCAGGGTTTGTATAACAAATGATTAATGAATGAATAAATAGATGAATAAACAGACAATCAGCACTATCACAGAAAAGAGAACTTGTTTCCCAGACATATCAAAATTCTCTCTTGGTCTCTGTTCCCCATGTGCCAAGTGGAGAAAATAATTCACTAACTATATACCTCAAAGCATGTGGCTTCTACGAATTTTGAAAAAAAAAACATGAGGGTGAGTCATTTTGAACTCCTTTAAAAAATTATAAAAGATGCCATTAAAGTCTAGACAGATAAGATCCAATTATTCAAGTGTGAATGTCTACTTACGTGGCTCATCTTTGTGTGGACCTAGACTCACAGTAATCCTGCGATTTAGTAAGGGAGGGAAGTCTCAATAAAGAAGCGACAAGCTGTCGGGAACTTACTCATAGGCTTCTCATGCGTAAAACGTCTTCCATTTTGCCACTGGGGACTCCCCAGCGTATTTAACTGCTGTGTGTTAGGAAAATGGGATTATTCCTAAAAGGCTAAGATTAACTAATAGCTCTATATAAAATAAAACTTGGATCCCTTGTTTTGATCTAGATGTTACCTTTGTGTCTTCGTTTCCTTTAATGACAGTAAAGGCTTCTTTAGAAAAACAGTGACAAGTATCTTCTGAGGGATCCTGGCTGGGAGGGAAGTTAGGTTAACTAGCAGGGGAGGCTGCCCTGCAGTTCCGAGCAGAGTGCAGGCATGTGTGTCTGGAGATCATCTGGCCTCCATAGACAAACCAGCCTCGGCTGAGCTCCATGTCTGTGGCTGCTTCACTCCAACACCAAACTGTGCTGAGCCGGCCCGCCCAAGTTCAGACCTCACTGCCAAGAGGGCTGCTGAATAAACAGTGCAGAATACAGAGATCTCGTGGCACCAACAAAAACGTTACCAACAAAAACCTGAACAGACTGGACTGGACCCAGGGGCCAGCATCTAGGATTCTGAATAGAAGGAAGGATGCCAAGTGACACCCCAGCATTGAACAAGTAAAGAACTTCACACCTATAGTCCACCCTCCTCTGGATGCCATCCCTTGAGCCTGAGTGAAATAAGCAAAGGCCAACTTCCCAGAGCAAAGTCAGCAAACAGTTTCAAGTCCCCTTGCTGCAGGGTGACAGGCAGTATTCACAGCTTCCCTGTCTCACTCAGAACACACTTTCCATAGCTCTGTAATGAGTGCTGAACACAGGTGTGACCCTGCATGTCTTGCTGCCATGTTTAGGCACAGAGGAAACAGTCACATGGCTGGCTGGGAACAGCTGTGTGTCAATATAAACGTGAACTAGGCTTTACTTTTTAATTATGTAACTTTAAATTATATAAGCAACAGACGAACATGTTCTCCTTTAAAAAAGAATTAAAAGAAAACATCACAGATAAGACTAAAGTCCTCATTTATCACCATCTACCACCCAAAAGTCCTCTGCCTTCCCCTGGAGAAACCACTGCTCAGTGGGCACCTTTCCAGACTTTTTATGTCTACCCCTATACACATATGTAAACACACAAGAGAAATAACCCAATCTATGTGTGTGTATGTGTGTGTTGATTTTTATATATGTGGCACCATGCTGTTAATATTGCTTTGCATCTTTCAATCAACATTACCTCCTGGAAATTTATCCGTGTTGTAACTATGCTTTGAGCTCAAGAATAGTATGAAAATATCTGCTGTGATAGTCCTTGATGTTGCTTCCAACATTTTGCAAATGCTGTCTCTCATAAGCATTTCTGCATAATGTTCTTTGTGCACTCTATTTCTCTAGGGAGCTGCCTATAAGGCACATTGCAAGGTCAGAGGCTTTTGCTTTTTAAATCTCAACAGACTGCTCCAACTGTCCTCCAAATATGCAGTACCAGTGCATGTTCCCACCTCAAAACAGCAATGTATGAAGATACCCATTTCTGTATGTTGGTGCCAAAATGTATAATCAAATGTCTTAATTTCTTCCTCGTTTGATGAGTCTTTCTCCTAATTACCAGTGAAGCTGAATATCTACTCATTGGTCATCTATATTTTTTCTCTGGCAATTGCCTGTTTATATCTTTTTTGCTGATTCTTCTGTGGGATTGTCCTTTAATAAGTTGGGAGAGTTCTTTGTCTATTCAGAATTTTTTATTTCTTACATACAGTGGGGCAAGAGGTTTTAGGTAGTGCGTAACATGAAAAGTCCATGTTACACACTACCTGGAATAATGATTCTTCTTCCTCCTAATCTGTGAAAACCACTGTACTAGCAGATGAGCTGCCTGAAACAGTATGGATAAAGCTGACATTCTAAGGAACTACCCTCCAAGTCTGGCCATAAGCTGTGGCCTCCAGAAACTCAAAATGACACACGGAGAGATTTCCACTTCAGGCCATAACAGAATAAATGGTGCCAGATGAGCTCTCTTGCCATAAACAACTATTACAACAGGTCAAATATATGAGGTAGCTATTTTCAGGCAACAGACAAGAGGTAGCATAAGACCGCAATGCCTGAGAAAAGAGAAGCTTATAAGGTAAGTTCCAGGATCATCCAAACTCTCTGCCTGTGACAATTTCCTGACCATGGGGCAGAGGCAGAGCTCACACAGAGCTCAGTGAACCCACTGAGCTGGGGAGGCAGAGATCAGATTCAGGGGCTACTGGAACATCTGGATTTGGCAAAGCTGAGTAACAGAAAAGGGAGCTTCCCTGGAAGGGAGGCAAAAGTTGGTTTGGGATTTCATGTGAGTCCATAACCATGGCTGGGCTATGCACGTTCAAGGCAAGACTATACAGGTCTTACTGGAGACTGGTTAAGAGGGAAACAGAAACTCCAGAGGCTGAGCAGTGCTGGGAGCTGCTGAAGTGCCAGCCCAGCCAGAGTAGAGAGATCTTTATAACAATAGTCCTAGCACCTAGCTAAGACAACAGAAAGGCCACAGCTTAGGAGCTAAAATCATGCTCGCTTGTGAGTACAGTCTATTCTAGTCTCACCACAACAAAGTCTAACAGCAAACTTCAATAAGACTGGAAGAGGATAAAGAGCTTAGAAGTTACGTGGAACTAAGTTGAAGGAGTTTGGGAAACATCATGGGCCTTCCACAGACCAGTCCTAACAAAGCACAAAACCAAACCTATACCCATTCAAGGTGATCAGTCAGTAACTGAGCTACCCACAGGAAAGAAAATACTCTTCAGGGAAAGATAACAGAATCTAGAGTTTTTACAATATATCATCCATAATGGCCAGCACACAATACAAAATCTTGTAGATGCAAAGAAATAGGAAAATGTGATCCACAGTTAAGAAAAAAAGCAGTCAATAGAAACTGGCCAAGATGAACCAAATGTTGGAGATAGCAGATAAACACTTTAAAGTAGCTATTATGTGTTCAAGGACTATATATATATATATATACACACACACACACACACACACACACACTTAATAACTAAGTAGTCTTAAAAGACAAGGAAATCACCAGAACCAGACCCGAATATGACATAGGTTTTCAAACTATCAGATGGGAAATTTAAAATAACTATAATTTAATACAATAAAGGAGAGACAACATGCAAAATAGAAAGTTATTTCAGGTCAGGCAATGGTGGCTCATGTTGGTAATCCAAACACTTTGGGAGGCCAAGGCAGAAGGATGGCTTGAGGCTGGGAGTTCAAGACCAGCCTGGGCAACAGTGAGACCCCTTCTCTATAAAAAATTTTGTTAAAGTTAGCCAGGTGGGATGGCACATGCCTATAGTCCAAGCTTCCTGGGAGGCTGAAGCAGGTGGATCACTTGAGCCCAGGAGTTTGAGACTGCAGTGAGCTGTGATCACACCACTGCATTCCAGCCTGTATTAGAGAGCAAGACTCTTATCTCTAAATAAATAAATAATTTAAAAGAAAGTTATTTCATCAGTGGTATAAAAACTATAATAATCAAATAGAAAG